ATCAATCTGATGTGTTGAAAACATGAAAGCAGTGTCACTGGTTGTGTGTCTTAAAATTGGTGCTTTTTCCCTCTTCCTCCTTTTTTTTTTTTTTTTTTTTTTTGTAGTGGTAAGGCCACCTTTACAGCACTATAGAAAATGAAGAGTCTGCAGCTTTAGCTTGCCCTGTAAGTTCAGATTGATAATGTACTATTTTAACATTAAGGTATTCATACAGTTTAAATTTAGTTTGTTTATATATCCTTTTTTCCCCCCTCTCTCCTAGCTATGTATTATTACATTCAGGTGCCTTGAACACTTTACTGTTTGCATTCAGTTATTCCACTGCTGTCCCCAGTTTCCTATCCTCAGTATTACTGTGCCTGTCTACTGTGGGTTTTTCCCCCACTTTTTGCATTATCTCTTCAAGGCTTGAGAATTCTTTGCATTTGTGTGATCTCATACAACATCAGAGCTATGGAGCCTGTATGCAAATGTAACTTCTTTTAATAATCCCCTTGAGTTTTTACCAACTGGTTCAGATGACTAACCAGTCCTCTGGATACAAGGGTGTTCTAGAAGTTTGTTTGTTCAAAGGTACCTTAACTGAAAAATAAAATTTAAAGGGACACCATATCTGTAAGTGTAGGCAAGAGGGTGAGGGGAGCACAGTTATGGTTGAGCTTTCAGCCTTAATTCTGGATTTCAAGAGCTCTGAATGCTTGATTTGTTAGCATTAATGTTGCACTAACTTAGGGTATTTTTGCATGAGAGTGTGTGTGTTTAACCAACTAAGCATGAAATCCCTTGCTTCTGTTTGTCCCTATTAAATAGTGGCAACAAAAGAAACGGACAGGAGATGGGTCCAGAACAAAGCAGAAATAATGGAGTATTTCACCCCAAAAAGGAGAGTGAAACGAAGTACAATGAGAGGGCAAAGACAGACTCAATGGCCAGAGGCAGTGTAGTGTGTTGGAGAGAGTAGTAATTCAGGGACACTTGCTGCCTGGAGCTTCAATTTGGGATCTCTGAGTGGCACATATATCAGAAGTGTTTGGCCATCCCTGCTATAGACACAATATTTAATGCTTTTCCCAGAAGAAATCTCTGTAGGGCTTTAAAGGGACACTGTCTAAGGTTGTCAGCTCAAATACAGATCTAACTAAAACTGGTATCATCTGGTTGGGATAGAAATCCCTAAGCAGGAGTAGGACCAGTTAACTTCTTCCCTTAGCTCTTGTTTATGGTAATACATGCACATGCAACATACTCACACGCATACAAGTAAAATGAAAGCATCAGTGCTGCTGTGAATATTGCATCTTTCTGCAGGATGCAGCACCTGTTTGCTTGGTTTCCTGGATTAATAACATCCTTTTTTTTTTCCAAAACTGGCTAAATGCAAGCACTTTTTTTCAAGATACTGTGTTCCTGTACAGAACTTTAAAATCTGCTCATTCATTTAAAAGAAAAATAATTAAATTCTGACTCTCCTGCCCTGCCTGCCTTGCCTGCTTCTTCTCATGATCCGATCCAATGGCTATAAAGAGTTTTAAGTGTGATGTTCTCAAAAATAATGAAAACTGATACTTTGTTTGACTTGTCTGTCTCTCTAAAGTGAAGTCTTACCCAGATACGATGGAAGGGTTCCAAAAAATGTTCCTTTTTTGTTTCTAGCAGTGGGGCTGAAAATGTAGACACCCAACATTTTGGTGACTATGCCAGCTAGTTCTGCTTGACTCTATAGCTGAGACAGTCAAATGTTTTCTTTCTCTCATCTCCTACACTCCCTCCGAGTGGCCTTACTTGATTTCGGAGTTCGTTTTGTAATACCTAAATGACGGCTTTTTTTTGGACAGTCACTCATCGAGCAAATCAGGTTTGGAATCCATGACAGAGGCTTCCAGGTCCATATCTAGCAAGTGTTTCAAGACTAGTCAGACTTAATTCAAGTTTCTGTTACACCCTTTGGGTTGTCCAAACTGGTGTAGTGGAAACCACACCATTTTGGAAAGGATTAGAGCAGTAGTTGTGAATTGAACAACTCTCTCAATGTTTTTGATATATTTGTGTTTTGGATTTCAGAAATGGCTTCTTTAGTTACTAATACACGTTTCTTGCAGTTCTGTGCATTTCAGACCACACTCTGATGTGATGATGTCTTAAATAATGGTATAGCTCTAGTCCACGCTCTGTAAAATATTTCAGGATGCATTTGCTCTCTATAATCAAAAGCATAATATAGGATGTAATTTTATTCACTTGGTCAATAACCTCTGAATTTTCTACTCTCCACAGATCTTGTGCAGGTACTGCATGCAGCTACCAAATTTGTGATAATAGAGGTTTAGTCTCTATAGTGGAAGCTTAAACAGCCCAGACTTTTTTAGTGGCCAGGTAACTTTAAGCTACTGAGGGAACAGGAGGACAGCGATTGAAGTGTTTGTATAGTGACATTTCCAAAGGAAGAGATGTTCATTGAACTTGAGTTAAGAGGATTGCAAAAAAAATTATGAAAAATACGTTGCTGCAAGTATCCCTTAAAATGTGCTTGTAGAACTCATGTCAGCCAGTGGTAAGTGCTATATATAGCAGCTTAAATTTCAGCAGCTTTTTGAAGCTAGAATATTAAAGTCTGTTTTCAGTCTAATGAAACAAAAATATCTACTGAAGGAAATTAGCTTTGCAGAAGGACAAAGTCATGAATATAATAAAGATAGGGGAATCATCGAATAAAATACGAGAGTGTTCTGGAGGGAGTAATTTCTCTGTCTTCTGGGATCCTGTATCTGCTGTATCTCAGGGACTTCGATACCTTTCATAATTGTGTTTCCTGGAGAAGGATGAGCGAGGGAGTGGTGGGTCTGTGTATGCTGTTTTGGACATGACCTGGCTTTTTGATCATATGTTTAATCAACAGCAAGTAGAGGTTCTGCAGACCAAGTTAGGCTTAAGGAATCTGCACTAAACAGATACTGAACTTAACAAAACCAGCCTGTGGAGCCCCTCTGTCACCCACAGAGCCTCCATATGTGTTCTACAAAGAGATAGCTATCTTTGACAGAACTGCAGATTATTAAACAGAGTCAGGGCTGGAAGAGTTGTGTCTGGTTGCATAAGAACTGGCACAGTGTCTGGCCAGAGAGAAGCACAGACTTTCATCAGCTCATCTGTTTCTTTATGTTTTTCAATAGGACATCAAGAAGTTGTCGCAAAGATGCAGTGGTGACAGGGACAAATTGAATGCTTTTTAAAGACTGGCTGCAAAGGGCCTGACACACAGCCTCGGGAGCTCTGGCAAGCTTCGAAGAATTTCGTGGCCTTCAGCATGATATCCACTAAGTGGAAACTCTGTTTGAAGGAGCTTATTTTGTGCAATGAACTCAATTGGCCTTTCCCACTTAAGTACCAGAGTAGAATGTTTGCTGTGGCTTTGTAGAGCCTGTGAGATAAGTATAAACTGACGTCAGTGAGTAAAGCTAGAAGGCATGTTTACTGCGTTACAGACAGACACAGAAGGGCAGACCTTAAAAAAAAAGAAAATTTCGTCAAAATTTAATAGAGGCAAAGCTTTTAACATCTATTGCATTTGTTCAGCTTAAGTACTACTGTAAATGTTTTTATTCCTAAAATATTTCCTCTCACATTTTTAAAAGTTATTGAAGGAATTTTGTAACTTTCCCTGTACTTGCTGTCTTTTGCTTCTTTAAAGCAATGAAGACTGTTCAGCAGTGTGGATAATAACTTACCATCTATATGGAAAGAATCCAATAAAAGTTCTGCTTTCAGTGAGCTGTCTTTTTATAATCATGTTCTCTTTGGATGACTTGCGCACAGAGCCAGACCTCACTATTTGCAACAGCACCCTACTGACGTCCATTCAGTTTCTCTCGTATAGTAGCCCTCAATGAGAGATCCTGAGTAGTAATGTACACAAAGTAGGTTAAGGTTGTAAAGACTGGATTTCTTAGTGCGGTGATTGGCCTGTGGTTAAGATGGAAGAAAAGAGCTGGGAATATGTAAAGACAGAATGTGTGAGAGGAGTGATTGTGCAAACATGTTTTCCTTTCCTTGTTGTAGCAGATTTGATAGGAAGGTGGCAGATATTGGGGAAAAAGGTACTTATATATGGGGCTGATGCAAGTCTGTCTTGTACAGTAGCGGATAATTATAGCCCTTAACTTAAATACATACTTCCTGGCTTTCCCAGAATGGTACATTTTTAGAATTTTTACATAAAAAGTTTCCAAATAATGCATAAAGGTCTGATGAGCCTTTAAGCCAAGGGCTTAAAGTACCTTTTGGATGAGCTTGGTGTACTTTGGCAATACTGTTCAAGAGATGAGAGCAGAACTCTAGAGCAGTCTTTGTCTACGAGTTTTTTTATTCTTATACTGTGAGTAATTTATACTCCTCCAGAGGAAGTGAGGGATCTGTATATCTTTTACTAGAGCTAAGTCCAGCAAATTTTGTTTCTTTGCAAGCTGTACTCTTTAACAGCTGATATTGCAAGGTAGAATATCTGACAAAGCAAGCCGAGGAAGGACATCAGAGGAGCACATTTCTGATTCTTTCTTGTGACAGCTGGAGCTGCTTAGGAGCTTCCCTGATGTTCACACCAGTTATTGTGTGAAATTAGCACAGGAAGCAAATTCATGCATACCCCACTGCAGAGTTGAGTAGGGCGTGTGCCTCCCTGTATGCCTACTGTATGCCCTGTATGTCTGCTGTACATGCTGTCAGGAAATGGTCTGAGAGAAGTGACATCCAGCTTTGTGAAGTTTAGGTGAAAAGTTAACAGGTATATTTGCATTTTCTTATAAAGCTGTTCTAGTTTTTCTGAGGTGGTCTCACTCTCTTAACTGTAGGTTTTGTTAAAATAGAAAGTTTGAATAATTATTTGCTTCTCTCCAATGCCTTTAAATTTATAAACTTGATTTTTAGAACTTTGTTGAATAAACATTTTCAAAAAAAGTAACATCTTCCTTTTGTTTCTGCTTTGTTTTTCCCTACCCTGGCAGTGTTTTAGAGCACTTTGCTGCAAGGGACCACCGCCACCACGACCTGAATATGACTTGGTTTGCATAGGCCTCACCGGTTCTGGCAAGACAAGTCTTCTGTCACAGCTTTGTGGTGAAAGCCCGGAGAATATAGTGTCTACCACAGGTAGGATGCTGCCTTTATTCCATGATATGCTGCAACATTTCCCAGAGGTAACTTTTGAAATGTATCACGAAGGTGGTAGAGAACTTAGGCTTAGTAATCTTTTGGAAGCAGGTAATGGATTGCTTCGAAGCTTCCACTACTTACTTTTTCCTTCTTTGGTCATATACTGGGGACTGTCCATGAAAAAAACATAAAATTTGGAACGTGTAGAAAGTCAAAACTTACATTGTGATGTAATGAAGTAGAACCATTGGAAACAAACAGTACCAATGTAGTGCAGACACATTAAAAGGTTTCTTTCTTCTTACTTTTTTTTTTTTTTTTAAAGCAATCTGGTTACATGGATAGAAAAGAGAAGAATGTGCTATAACACAGAATGGGACAGTGGTGGTTTGAAATGTTATTGCAATTTATTTCTTCTCACACTTGGTCAGTAGTGCCTTGTGGTATATGCTAGGAACCAAAAGAATAAATGTAATGGGAATGTTTTTTTCTGGTGATAGTTCTTACTTTTTAGATCAGCGAAGAGACTTGCTTATGTTGTAAGGGCAGATTGAGATCAGACATTCAGTTTACAGGAGGTTTCAGTCGCATTAAGAAGGTACATAAAGACGCAAACACAGATAAACAGTGTCATAAGTCCAAAACATTTGAGTATGCGTGCAGGTACAGATGAACCAGAATGCTTATTACTGAAAAGGGTATTTTGATTAAAAAAGCAAAACAAAAACAAAGGACCTCCCCTGAAACCAAAACAGCATCAGAAAAAAAAAACCAAAACACAACAAAACCAACAAAACCCAGAAATAAACATGTGGACCAAGAAAAAGGAATACTTGGCTGCAAAGTTCAGAAAGAGACAGATTAGATCACAGAGATGGAGGAAATCTGATTCTGTGGCCATAGCAGTTTACTAAGGTTGATTTGCCAAGGGAACGGATAGTGCGTGTTGTGCAAGTAACCTGTGTTTATACTTACATGGCTTTGTATTGTAGCTGTGGTTCACAGGCTTAAATCGTATGATTGTCCCTTAGCAACCCTAACTGGTTTTCAGTGTATCTTTGTTTACATTAGAAGAACATAAAGTTATTTAATACAACTGTAAGTAAAAAAAGTAAAACAGGTGCAAGAAAATATGTTGGTTTTTTTTTCCTGCAGTGAGCCATTAACCCATTGCCTTCAAAGTGGTGTTACTGGAAATGTTAAAGAAATCTCACACTTCATTGAATGGAGGAGTTAGCAGTGCCTAACTTGAAAAGTTGGAAGAAAACTGTAGAATAATTCAACCTTTTCATTTTTCTCTCCCCTCTCCATAACTTTATTTTTAGAGTTCACCTTAAATAAATGCAAATTATACTTTATCACTTTAGATCCTGAAAGAAACAGTAACAGCAATGTATGCAGCAGTATAGATCCATCAAAGGAAATAATGAAAATATTTTTATTTTTTTAAATTTAACTTTCCACATGTTTCTAGATAGTTGCCACAAAATACCATTATTTAGTTAGCTTGAGGAATGAAGATAGGCTCTGGTGAAAACTAGGCAGCATCCATACCAAAATGATGCATATCTAGGCTATTAATAAATCTACCCCTATGTACTGTATCTGTCCTATATTAGAAAATATTGTTGAGAATCCGAGAGTACAGTGTGACAACTTCTCCACTGACTTTTCAAACAATAACCTGTGTTTTCCTTTTTCTCATCAATGCCACTCAGGTCCATTCCAGTTTTTCCTCCTTTCTAGGAAGAGTTTAGGGTTTGTTTGAAGACAGCAGCATCTAAAATGCTTCATAATTATTCCCTTCAGATTTTCTTGCACTTTCCTTTACACTGCATCTAGCACTGACCATGTTTGGAGTATTTAAATATCTTATTGGTCTGATCTGGGACAAAAACCATCTTATTTCTGTTAAATGCTAGGTAATAAACTTGGAGTGAAAGACTTTTTTTCGAAACTCCTTTTTTCAGTTCACAGGTTTTATAAAGATATATTCCATACTAACTCCTTACCAAATGATTCGTGGCTTGGATGGAAGTTTTGTGCTGAATTTTAATGTGTGCCAACTATTTAATAGTATCATTGCAAATTCTATTGCTCGCCCTGATTTATTCCTTTTCCCCTTCCTTATAACTGATAATTTTAAACAGCACAATGAAACAGAATTTTACATGCAAAATCCTGGTTCTTGATGAAAAATATAGTTTTTTCTGAATGTATGCAGTTGATTGTGAATGGCCTCTTTAACAAATAACTTACTGTTACTCTTAATTTCTGTTCTCAGGTTTTAGTATAAAAGCAGTGCCATTCCAGAATGCCATCTTGAATGTGAAAGAACTTGGAGGTATATCATTTATATATTTATATAATAATTTGATTATAAAAACATGCAGTGTCTAAATCTTATCATAGCAAACTCTTACTTGTTTTAAATTTAAAAATTATAAATCCATGTAGATGGAATTTAAAACCTGTGTTTCTCCAGATAAAGTTGGGAATAAGTCAGTACATATGCTGAGTACAGAGGACAAAAAATAAAACGCAGGAGGAACAGAAGGCAGTTAAGTGTGGCGTATCTCCTTAATGTGATTTCTTGGGCTGCAGTGGTTGAGTTATACAGAAATACAAACTGGACTGTAATTGTGGTGCAACTCGAGCAGCATCTTAAGGAAGTGTGTTCCCAGTGTTTATTGTGTGTATAAGCTTTTACTTATGAGCATTGCCTGAGGTAACTAGGCCAACATTTAGCAAGACCAATATATTTGCTGCACCACTGAAAATGTTGCAAAGGCAGCTAACATCCAATATTGTTTGATATTCTCTTGTTGAATTTGTGGCTTTTGGAGGCATGGTTGTTCTGTGATTGTGTTTATTCTTAATTATCTGTATACAGGTAGGCTATTTAGCTGCCCAGTTCTGCCCCTGAGTCTTAAGGGATCAAGAGGTAACTGGTAAAAGGAAGAAAACACTATTTTGATGAGAGTTCTTGTGGAGTCTAATTTCATCTAATGTTCCTCCAATTAAAAAAAACCCAACACTTAGATCTTTAAATTCTAGAATTTCTGTAGATCTTCTTTATTACCTACGTAAATACAGTAGAATGAATCTTGTTCATTAGATTTTCAGCAAGGTTGAAACCTCTCTTAAATGCTCTGGGGTAGAAGTTAACTTGGTTCCCGAAGGAAGTTTCATGAGATCAAATGAAGTTTCATCATGGTTGTCTTACCTGAAATTGTTTCAAGAATATGCTTTGAGATAAGCACATATTATATTTAGTTTTTACTACCATTGATCCATGAATTTAAACATACATGTTCTTGTTTGAGCATGTATTCTATAAATAAAGCAGAAGTTTTTTTATAAAGGGCTTCAACAGGGATATTGTTGGTTGTGCTTGAGTGTATTATCTGCATCATAAAATCACAGAATGGTTTGGCTTGGAAGGGACCTTAAAGATCAGCTGGTTCCAACCCCCTTCCGTGGGCAGGGACACCTTCCACTAGACCAGGTTGCTCAAAGCCCCATTCGTGTGGACTTAGGTCACCTTGGAATTTTTTTGGTGCGTTTTTGTGTTTTTTTTGTTTTTTCACAAGGTGAATCATTTGCAGCCCAGTTTATACATTCTGCTGCCCAGTCTCTGTGAAATACATAATTTGTATAGGTAGATGCAGGTTTTCCATGAAGAATTGAACCTGAGAGTTCTGCAGCAGATCCTCGTTAAAGAGTCTTCCTTAACCTTTTCTGATCACACAACTTTTATGCAGGTATGTGTGTTAGGAGAAATCTTATCTCAGTGGAGTGCTTTAATGTCTCATGACAGGATGTCCTGAAGTAATCCAGAATATTTGATTTTTCACCCATTTATCTCTTCCCAAGGACTGAAAAATTGTTAGAATTCTTTTACTCCACCTTTATATTTCTTTTCCCTTTAACTATGGCTTTTTACATGTCTGTACTTAGAAATGACATTGTCTGGTTTTTCTATGAGATATTGGATAAAAATAATAGAATCATACAATGATTTCGGTTAGAAAAGACCTTAAGATCATCTAGTTCCAAGCCCCCTGCCATAGGCATGAGCCTTACATGGATCATGTCGCCCAAGGCTCTGTCCAGCCTGATCTTGAGCACTGCCAGCTTTTCATTGCCTAGATAAGGGAGCTAAGGCAAGATTCCCAAAATTATTATTCTTCCAAAAGCTGGTGGTCAGCGTTTAATCTTCTAGCTGGGAGATGTTTTCCTCTTTGATGAATGTAAAGCCTGAGCTTTCTGCTCTCTTGCTCTCTGTATGTGAAAATAAATAAAAACATCTTGCATGTTTAAGTACTGCTAAATCTTATTTTGGACTTTATGCTTCTAGTGTTGAATAGGAATCTATGGTTTTGTTCTTATTCCTGTTTTTTTTTGCCTTCAGTTTCTATGGTGGTGTTACATAATTTCTCTTTACATTACTACGGGGGTCTTGTCACATTTGATCTTGGAAACTTGGAGGCAGGTAGAAAGGCAACTTTTTTAACAGCTGCTGTCCATTGTTGCATGTTATTCTAAGGGTGAAGTTTTATATAGTTTTTGATACTCTGTTTTAAAATTGTCTTGGGTTTAGGTAACTGAAAGCTTCACATGTCTTCATGTAACAACTTACTAACATCCAGCCTTTAAAAAACAGCAGAAGTCATACTGTTGAAGGTTCTTATATTCAGCAGCCAAGCAGTTACGTGAAAAAGATGCTGAGTGCATAGTATCCTTTTTGTTTGATTGAAGCTGTATCCTTCCTCGAGGTTGAATATGCTGCTAGTTTTTACTGTGCTGGTTGCCTCTGGAGCTGCTAATGAAGCTGGGGTTTATTTCTTAATTTCTGTAGGGATTCTGTATTTTCAGGCAAAGTGTATAGAAAAATCTCTCTTCTTTCGTCTCTTCCAGGTTTGTTTTTCTGATTGTCTCTTCATCAGCCTCTAGGATTAGAGACATAGAGCAAAGTTTGCTATGTTCTTTTTGCAGTAATATTTCTTTAAAATACATGATACTAGGATATATATATATAAATCCTATTTCTGATTATTTTTTTTAATTGTATTCGTCTCCTAAACCAGGCTGAATTCCTACCAGGAAATGGAGGTTTTATCCAATTTCATTAATGTTAAATGTTTTGTTTAAAAGCATTTTGACCCTGAATAAGTAAGAAAATAAGTAGCTTTCAAATCGAACATGGGCCTGCTTGAATTACTCGAAAAGAGGGTCTTGCTTTGTTTACTAACCAATTTGAACTGCCTTTTCTCTAAATTTATACTTTTATATACCAATAATGACTTCCTGCTCCCTGAGAAATAAAAAAAAAAACCAACCCAAATTCAAAACCCCAACACAATTTATTGCCAGAAATTTAGTCCATAAAATAATATGTGTAATTTAGATTACTATGAAGCTGTGCTGTGTCCTTCCCCACTTTTTTTTTTTTTTAGAATGTACTCTTACCAGGATAACTGGAAATATCTCTATATTATGCAACTCAGCTGAGTAATGGTACAGAAAGAAATTACAAATTTGATGATTTCCTGTTCTGGTGCCACAATTTCTGGTGGGAATTAAGGTTGAAATTATGTGCTATGAACATACTTGAGGGTGTGGAAAGGCTGCAGAAATAAAGCAGATGATAACATTTGTTGTTCTGACAGTGTTTGGCTGAAAGAAATTTGGGATGCTGAATGCTGAGGTTTATACTTAAGACAGATAACAAAGATGCAAAGGCAATAGAAGGCTTTTTCTTTGGTTCTGACAGATTTCAGCCTGGAGACACAGTGCCTGAAACCACCATTTATTGAGTGTGTTTATTAATTTGCTGTTACAATGCTGTCATAACAGAATGCAAAGTCATAGTGTATGCTGTGACGTAGATACATGTTCAGGTCTATATCAAGATTTTAGCTCCATGCTCAAGATTTTAGCTCTGTTCTGGAAGTCAAGTAATAATTACAGTTGCTTTTTATAGAATATGTCTATTTCATAATTTAGTTTGCTATCTTGTAAATACAGGCTTAGAAACTACTGAGAGATGCCAAATACTGAGCTTGGTCAAACTTAAAAGAATTATTCTGGATGTGAACAGCTCTTTTTCTCCTTAGCGAGTTAAAAATACTAAGAACATGTTACATGTAACCTTCTCTGTTTTATGGACTAAAATATATTGTTGTATGTTTGTGTTACATCTTTATAATCCACCAAAGGCATTTTTCACAAGCATAGAGACTGCATGTTACGTCGTCGTCTTTGAAACTTCATTTAAGACATAGTGTATTAAGTGCTTAGCAAGTGCAGAGTGGTTAATACCAGGGATGCTCAAGTCTCCAGTTGCTTGCGCACACCCAGAAAAAGAGGGATGAGAGCTGTCCTCCCCTCTGCTTAAGCTTGATGACTGAAGTCATAAATTAACATTCTTAGGCCAGCTAAATTAATTGTCTAGGTGAGAGCTCGGTAAAAAAATAACTTTAAATAGGATTGGTTAAACAAAGCATGTGGATTTTGCCTTAATTTGGAATAAAAGAGCAGAAGAGAGACTAGTAGGGGGAGTCACACTTTTATGCAGTCCAAGTTGAGTGGGAAACATGAACCCCTGAAGAAGGTGACAGCAGTCATCAAGCAGTGCCTGAACTTGTGAAAAAGTGAGGGAGAAGGGAGAAAATAATATTGAGCTATTAAATAGAATTTAAAATTTGAATAGTTATGGGAAATCAATCTTCCCCTTTTCTCTGTGGAGGTAGAGGGGAGTACTGAACAGCCTTCTAGCAACGTAGCCTCACAGAGCAGCTAAAATTTCATCTAGTTAGTCATCAGAAAACCAATACCATAAGTAAATGCCATCTTAAGTCATCTTCACAGCGACGAACTAACACAAAGCAATAAAATCTCAGTACTGTATTTAACTAAAAGGCAGTTGACACCTCTACAAAATCTGGTTGTGGAGTACATGCACTGCCATCTGCAACATAGCTGCATCTAACAGTTTACAGAACGTCTTAGCAGATGAAATTTTTAGATGACCCTGATGAGCTGTCCAAGCTGTGAGTTGCACAGAGACATTCAGCTTCCGAAAGCATTAAAGTTAGGTCTGTTTGCTATCAATCATACTCAGCCTGCTGTTCAAATGGTGCTTCAGCCCAGGCTCTGTCACATAGTTTCCTCATTTCATAGAGCAGAGAGATCATTTGCACCTGCTTATGGATCTCGTTAACATGACTCCCGAGGAAGTTACAATCAGGATTTTCAGCATAGTGATCTTTCTGCTGTTCTTTGGAAATCCTGTCCTTTTGTACAATTAGCTTTTTGCAGTGTGAATAGACAGCCCACTGC